GATGTGAGCACATAAATGTTTGCTTGCCACTAGTAAGTTATTTTACTTGCCTTGCAGAAGACCGGTGGGTGGAAACGTCTGCTATATTTTTTTTAAATAAATCATGTACGCGTTCAGTGTGCGGTCATTTCCTCAGTACTTGTCTTTTAGGTGTGTATTCACGCTAGTTTAATTTCATCTTTTGCAGACGATGTCAAAAAGCACAGCAAACCCCGGCATTTTCTCAAAGTCACTACGTGGGAGTACGCTACAGTTGTGCATAACAGTCTGCCATCTGTTGTGGCGTGAACAGTGGTGCCTTATGTTTGCGAGCAACAATCAGCAGAACTCCCATGTCATGTGTGTAAAGAGGTGTCTCTGAGGAGCACCAGAGTAAAGTGAGCAGAGTAAACTGAGCAAAGACTTGACAATCACCGTTGCCCTGCCCGGTTCTGACACATTATGCTCAACGTGATAAGGAAAACAAATTGTAAGACAAACCCCTTCACAAAACACTAAAGCAGACAAAATTCACACACACTGTTCAGTATAGCTACTTGTAGGAATTTAAACACAGTGTGAAGAGTGCTTGAAGCTAAGAGGCATTTTCTCTGACTCTCCTTTTTACATCTCCAGCAAACAGGAACCAGAGTCTATTATTTCTGAGAGCAGTTTGTTCGATGCGGCAGAGCACTAGGACTAATTTATGGGTCAATATAAACTTCCATCACCACAAACTGAAACTGAAAGCTCTACCAGCCTGCAGCAGAGGTGAGGAATAGACTAGAACCTCTAAATCACACTGCAGGCATGGAACAGACAGGGCAGGAGGGAAAAGGCTAATGCAGGATGCCACTGTATAATAGTCTACAAAACAATTACAAATGTAATTATATATTAATTACTTTAATGCCTTAGTTAAAATTTCCTGCCACATCACCAAACTTTTATCTGCCTTTATAGGAAATAAAATGAAACCATCTTCTAAAGCACTGCATCAAATACATCACCAGCAGTAATTATAAGAGTGGAATTACTCCAGGGTGCCTCTAGGTGAAAAGACAATGCAACAGGGCGATAGTTTAGGTAATTAGTGGCAGCCATCAAAGGATAATTCACATTACTAACAAGATACGGTTAATTTGTCGGGTATTAACCACAGAGAGAATACAAAACACGCGCTCCAGGAGGAGGGGACAGATGATAAGTGAGGAGTCGGGGTACTGGTGTTATAGTTCCCCTCAATGCATCAGTGGACACCTGTGGAAACAGCAGATGTTGAAAACAGGAAGATTTTGCTTCACTCATAAATGTCTCCTGCTTTTCCTTTTCATTAAAATTTCAAAACACACCCACCTGCTTCTTTTGGACACGAGTCCAACAGCTTTCGGTCACACTGTGTATGTTTTAATCAGTATCCTCTTTCTGCATTATCAGTTTGTCCTGGTACTGTGCACATTAGCTCACACACATTCCTTAATGAATCACCTAAATGACACCAAGCCTTCATCAATGTTATTAATTACGCCAGTGCTTTTCCTACTCTGACAAGTGGAAAATAATACACTGGCCATATTTTATGTAAGTTAACACATTTTATAATGAGTGACCTCTGACTATGACATCGGTGTAAGATTCTTAGTGTATGTCTTTCCCTAAAATTTCTTTCCATTTTAAAATAAAGGCTCAGCAGATCACAGGTGAGGTACATACTCACACATAATTTGCAAATGTGTTGCCAACTAAAACTGATTTCAGTACAGTGCTGAATGTCACTGATTGATCCAGTACGCTGTTGTTTTCTGTAGCACTGTTAAACACTCTGCATTACTGCAAACACATTGTTTTACTTGCAGGCTGTGGCCAACAACCATCAGGATGGTGCAGCCCATGAGACTGAAATGAGAACCTTTCCCTTGCCAGTGTTCATGACTTTTTGGAAGTTCTGTCTGAGTTCTGAAACGTCTAGTGAAAAACTGCGAGACAGAATTTGGATTTGTATCTTATGACTAGTGGATATCTGAAATCTTACAATTCTTATCATATTAGGTCCATCTGTAGGACCAAATGTAACAGGTGTAAAACAGGAGTTTTCAAAGTTTGGCACCTGCGGGTCTCAAAACCACAAAACCATGACGTTGCTGTGTTTACTTTTTAGCAACAATAACAATAATAATAATCACCTTTCTTTGGCCAAGTATGTTACACACAAGGAATTTTTTTCCGGTACAGAACCGAGGCAGCCATCTGCGGCGCCAACTCAACCGATGGCTCTAACCATCGGGGGCAACTTGGAGGTTTAGTGTCTTGCCCAAGGACACTTCAATATGTGGACTGCAGGCACTGAGATTCGAACCACCAACTCTCCGGTTGTGAGATGACTGCTCTACCCACTGAACCACAGTCGCCTTTACCAACATGTATTTATATTTTGGCAAGTAAAAGTATTGCCAAATTGCCTACTAGAGGTTCCTCTTTGCAACGTACCTATGGATGTACACTCACCAGTCACTCAATTATCTTCACACTGAAGAAAACTCAAAAAATGTCACAATTTTCAAGGCAGATCTGGAGCTATAAGGAATGTTTTTCCTATCATATCTAAGAATGTTCATCTGCAGTGAATTAAAGGTAATGATATCCTCAAAGTCTAAGTCATGCTGACTCTAAAAGCATGCGTCTTCAGATTTGACTGAGTTACAACTAAGAGAAAAAGTAGATGAAGCACCTCTGCCTCCATGAGCGCGTTCATCACAGCCACTGCTACTGCTGAGACTGCTGGCTGCGTTGCTAAACAGACCAAATCTACAATCATTAATTTCCAATCATTTTCAAAATTCACGTCAGCGTTGCCTAGATGCCTCCCCCCAAAACCCCACCCACCTCACCCTGTCACGACCTCTGCTATTGTCATAAATCAAACTCAAAGTTGCAGTGAATATACTGCAAAGCACTGTACTTCAGTCTGTCAGTTTGTTTTTAACACTATTAGCCACTTTGCATCGTTACAAACTGCACACAAAAAAAAAGCATGTGCTCATTTTTACACAGAAACAAGCATCCTAGTATTAGAAGTGTCACATTTGTGACGTCCAGTGGGACATATAACATACGTCAGAAATAAAAGCTTACCAGTAACACTGTTGCTCTCAAATCAGTGGTGAACAGAGAGTAAGGATGTGCTTTTGCTCATCCTGCACATTTACAACATGTTGTTGTACATACAACATGTAAATAATTGTTATATACATTAAAAAAAGTTAAATCTCCCGGTGTAGCATCATAGAAATTATACTTCATCAAAACCTCACACACCTCCACCCACAAGCCCACAAGCCACTTCCCCTCTTTTACACAGAGGCCAAGGCAGAACGCTTGCACCTACTTTACTACCTGTCATGCTGTAATAAAGAAGGGTCAACACTGAGACCCCATGCCGGCTTGGTACATAACAACATGGAGAAAAATTCATTCATGAATTCCGCTTGGAGTGTACAGTGTAAAAGGAGCTTAAGACAGCTCCATTGTATTTAATGTGTGATAGTGATAGTGAGATACGGTGAAGAGACCAAGTGCAACACATACAGTCATATTCATTAATCCTGGTACAAGAACCTCATTTCAATTCTCACTGGCAAGGACAATCATTTTTCAGAGGGCTACGGTGAAATTCTCCATGTTTTCACACTGCACAGGTCCTTGCTGTGGTATCTCAAGGCTTATCTCATTTACTACAGAGATCGAACAAGGGGAATCAATGATGTAACCCAGTGTAAACACAGAAGTGGTGCTGGAAAACTGATTTAGAGCCTGCATCAATATCCAGAGGGAAAAAAAGCGAGAGACACTTTACGCAGAAAGAAGGGTTTTGAATTTAAAATTCTCTTTACTCATCCACTAGTGCAAACAAAAACAAGCCTCACTTAGTTCAATACGGACTCTGGTTTTCAGTCTTTTCCATCAGGAAAAAATGGTGTGATAAGGACTCATCAGCCAACACGTAAGATAGTAACATAGATGTGCAATAAATCACAAAGACGTTTATCAAAAGTGTGAGAAGTGCTGATTGCAATCAGGCTGGAAAACCTGCACAAAGGTTTCACTGTATGTTGTTCAGCTGTGTAATTAAGGAAAAATGACAAAAAATATAGTAAAAAAAATTACTTTAAAGACATTTATTTATAATTAGCTTCTCATTTAAAGGCTGTAGCTGTTTTGCCACAGGTGTAATAACTGACTTAAAGAGCCCGTAACAGCGAACGGAACAGAGTTTTAGCTTCCCGTTTTGGCCACTAAAACTCTGAGTTTAATGCTTTTTTTTTCATGTAAGCGTGTAAATGCCTCTTTTTATAGAAGCAAAGTGCTGACTAAATTGAAAGAATATTTAGGTGTAAAAAAGAAGGAATGCAAGCTAATAAACTTCATTACTTGGTGTATAATAAACTGCTAGTTAAAACCAAGTGAGACAACAAGAAAGAAGGAAAGGAAGCAGATAGACTAGGAAAAAAGGTGAGCAAGGAAGCAAAATAAAAGCAGGCAAACCAAAGTCCAACACAGAGAGCAAGTTTATTGAGTAGCTGATCAATGAGTGCAGCCTCGGCCAGAAGAGGAGTCAAAGAAAAAAAACTGAAAAGAAAGCAGAGAGACAAACGCGTTTGACAGCTGATTACAGCCGTGGAGAGAGGCAGCGAGCAGAACAAAGAAAATGTGGAGTAACCAGTGTGTGCACAGCCTTGGACAAGCAGACTGAATAACAAGCGTGGTTAGCACATGAGCAGCACCGTCTTGCAAAATAAGAGGGTGATAGACAGAGAGAATAAAAAGTGTTGCAGCCTTGGACTAAGTGAGACTAAATCGGATGCTGGTTGAAAGTTGTGGATAAAATGTGAGGATTAAGCCAGAAGGGGGAAACGCACATCATTAGAGGAAGACAGAGAAACAGGAAAAGCAAACAAACACAAGCACAGGGCACCAGTATACAAGCCATAGATATTAAACATTCTGACAGACAGGAAACTGACCTGTGAGCACAGCCTTGGCGGAAGGTTCAGCCAGGTCCAGGGCGGACTTGCCGTCAGTGTTGCGGATGTTGGGGTCGGCTCCATGCTGCAGTAACACTGTACAACAGGGCAGACAGAGACAATAGCTGAGCTCCTGGACTGACATGCAAACTCCCCGACACACATCTCCTGCCAGTCGTCCTCCTGCTCCTGGACCACATCCTGCTCCATACACTGCTCTTCCTGAACCACCACCTCCTCCTTTTTCTCCCACTCGCTCCTCTGCTATCCCTCCTGATCCTCCTCTGCTTGTTTCTCCAGGCTCTCCTGGCAGCCCTTCTGCAAGTCCTGCTTCACATCTCTCCCTTCCTCCTCCTGCTGCTCCTCCTCTGTTGCTAGCGCTGCTCTCTTGGCCACCCCTGGCTGCCCCTGCCCTGTGAGCCATGCTGCTGATGTAAACAGACATGCCACAACAAGAGCGGCAAAGAACTACGCTACACCGCACTGCCAGAGAAACAGGGGACCTAACAAAGCAGCTACGTGACCAGTTACAAAACACATCACACTTCCATGGATGAGGGAGGAAAGGCTATAGTAAAACTGAGAAAATAATTAAAAATGAGTGAGGAAGGGAGAGGCAAGTGGGTACAGCTAATCGAGGTAGCAGCAGCGACAAAGCAGCAGGGCAGTGAGAGTGGAGAGACTCTCGCCTCTCCAACTGACTGAGCGATGCAGCGGAGAGCAAGATGAGGGAGGAGAGAGGAGGAGGGTGGGGGGAGAGGAG